ACCTTGAGGTTTAACTTTGAAATATTTGCCATCCCATACTGCGTACATCTGAAGACCAGTTGAATAAACTAGATGATACTCTTGACCAGCGATAAAGGAAGAAGTACTGGAGGGTTGATCAATCTGTTCAAGTGAAAATTTAATACCATTTCAAATTTTTACCTGGAACATAAAATCCAAATACAGTTATTGTATGAATGGTTATTTAAATAAACTTATCTGTATAATATCTATTCCCTAAATATTCTAATAAATCTAGTAAAAAAATCTTATTGAAAATGCAACATAATGACGCAAAGTTTAACAGTTTTACAATAATCAATTGCCTCATCTGGTTGACCATAAATTATTTATTGACTGAGCAAAGAAATGTTTATTATCAAAATGCCAAACTGTTTTAAAACAATAAATACTATGTAAGTGTAATGTATATATGTTATATTATTGTTGTTGACTGTTTGAAAGATGATTGACAGATTTATTTTCATTTTAATGGCACTGTCTTGATTCATTTAAAAACGCCTCACTTGAAAGCAGAAAGAGTTTTCATAAATTGCACATAAGTTAAATAATCAATTGAAAGTAGATGAAGAAAAATGTTACTTACAGATGGAGTGGCGGTATGGGTTGTGGTCGAGATTGCAGAATTCTGATCTGATTGTACAGAAGTTATGTTGTCGTTAGAATCAGTGGGAGCTGCTTTTTTAGAGCTATCCTCTGTATTTGTCAACTGCATTCTAGCTAAAGAATTTTGAAATTTTGTAGACGAATGTTGTTGACTTTTAATGAACTTCTCCTGTTGCTCCTGTATGAATTTCTCTGTCAGTTGATGTTTAGAGGGTTGAAGTTGTGTTTGAAAAGTTTCTTCTTGAGCTCTTAGAATTAAGTGTGGTTGTTGCACTTCTTGATGCTGTTGGTTTGATTTCAGCTGCTGTTGATGTTGTGATTGATAATTCTGAAAAAGTTGTTGATTTTGTTGATACTGCCTCAAAATCGTTTCATTAGGATCATTCGTTGTTGACTCGTTGTTGTTAGCAGGTGTAACAGAAGAATCTTTCAGTACGACGTCATTAAGAGTTTGTATAGTGGGGGGATTGACCAGATTTGCATGTGTTTGCTCTGCAATGCTATTAAAGGAACTGCTGTCTACTGTTGCGCTAGATATTTTATGTGGTTGTTGATCAAAAGCATTGGTGCCGTTTAATATAAAATTTGAAGTCAGATTAGTGAGATTTTGTTGACTTTGCTTGAAAATAACAGGAAGTTGGATAGATTGTTGTTTGGGGTTAGTAGTAGGCTGGATTTTGTTGGCAGAGCAGGCCGAAGGAGGAGGAGGTATGATGTGAATTGATGACATGTTGCTACCTGATATCCTACCATATGGCAATGTACTATTTAATCCCAATATAGGAGAAACAAGGTTGGTGTTGTTCATATTGTTTAAAATGAAATTGTTATTAATGTTATTAAAAATTAATTGATTATTATTTGCCAAAACAAACATCTGATTTTTATCAGAATTTTTCAAGACAGTAGCAGAGCTGATTTTTGAAAAATTAGGTAGCTGACAATTTAACAATTTCTGAGGTGTCAGCAATGTGATGTTGCTTTGTGGCAATGTTGGTGCCACCATTTTAGCAGCCAGTCCAGATGATAAAAGTTTTGTTTGTTGCTGTTGTTGTTGTGCCTTGATTTCAGATCCATTTTGAAAAGTTCCAAGTTGTTTTAAAAGACTGCACTGAGCATTAGTCATGACTGATGGTTTTTCAGCTGAGGGGACATTTAATGAGTTGAATGAACATGCATCTAATTGCTGTTTAATAGAATTGCTCAAAGTAGTATCGTTAGAAGTGGAAGTGTCGTTATGGTTAATGTTGCAACTATCTTTGTTCAAATTGTTTTCAGATATTGGCTGGGCAATTTTAACTTGTGGAGATACAACAATTTGATTTAAGAAGGGGAGAGAATTATTTCTGACTGGCATCAACCTAATCTCTTGTTGTTGTGCATTTGTATGCATTGCTACAGGCATGTTTGACCGCATTTCCGGAGGTTTTGTGACATTGGAAACAATTTGAGGATTAGTATTTAACACTAATTTTTGAGGTGATATCAGTCTTATTTGATTAGAAGGAATTATAACTTTATTCTGCACAGCAGATAATAATTGCGTAATTGTTTCTTGATTGACTAATTGATTTGGAACCTGTATTTGAGTTTGTGGCCCAGCAAGCAGCAGTTGTGGTTGCGATTGTTGTCGTTGAATAAATTGATGCGACTGCATCTGAAATTGAAGATTGTTCAATTTTGGCTGATCGGGAGACACAGACTGCACTTGTACTAATTGGTGTTTCTGCAAATCTGTTAGTTGTTGGTCTTGTTGCAAAGATTCATGTCCTACAATTCGAGGGTAGTCTTAATTGAATTTATAAATGATTTACAAACCATAACATGATTAAACAATTTATTAACCAGAAGTTTTTTGGGAAGTGTCATTCCAAGGAGCAATAACCGCCACTGGTGCTTTTTGTTTGTCTTGCAGCTGTGAAGTGTTTGCTTGTGACTGTTGAGTTTGCTGCAGTGGCTCCTGATGCTTCATCTGCTGATATTGATGCTGCTGCAACTGTTGATGTTCAACTGCCATGGAACGCTGTGAAAGCTCAAGCAAGCCATTACCTGAAATACCCCCAACACCAAAAAAATATGGTTTACAGTTTCAATGTATGATTCATACATATGCAATTTTAACTTTTACTACATTTGTAATTAGTATTACTTTACTACATAATTATGAATATGAGTATCAGATTGAGTATCATGCTCAATTACTTTCCTAGAATTCAAAAACTTAAATATGATAGCGAAAAGACAGTTAGAAAACTGAAATCAATAATAGAGTATGCTAAATGTGAGACTAATTTGTTTAATAAAACCTCTTGGGAAAAGTGAACAATGACAATAGTGATGGCAATAACAATAACTACCTGAAGAAGATTTCTGTAACATAGACACCGGTATTTTAAGAAGTTTTCCCAGAGCATCAATACAAAAAACATTTGTGTTGTTGTTGTTGTGTAAGCCAGACATTCTTTGAGTCTTCTAAATTTTGTTAGTGAAAAGAATAGCAAAGCTTTTTTAATTTTGAAATTAAAATAGAATTCAAATTAAAACAAACACATACAAATAACATGCTTTAGTGAACTCATAACATAATAAATTTTATAATAAACTCTGATACATTTACATCTGATACATTTATTTTGAAATTAAATTAGAATTCAAAATTTAAAAAAAAAAAATTTTATAATAAACTTTGATACATTTATTCGTCATTCAACAATGTTCAAACTCATTGTCTAGTGCCCTCTCTCATCTGCAACGTTGGCAACATTGCAGAATTTTTTCTCTCTTATTGATCTTCATGAAACTGCAATGTTTAATCTCACCAATCCAACACCTCATCTGCCTGCTTCTCATTTTGCTTCCCTCTATGCTATTTTGAATGATCTCTTCTTCTAGGTTTGATTTCCATGTTGTGTGACGGATCTTCTCTATTTCTGTTACATCAGATATTACCATTTTGCTATCAAATATTGTTTGAGATGTGTTAATTTGCAGTCAAGATAATCTGCCAAGCCCCCTCCACCTCTGTTCACTAGCTTAGTTAGATTCTTGTTACTAGAAGCATCTGACACCATGCTACCTTCGTCATTTAAATCTTAATCTAACCATCTAATTATTACTTTTATTTTTGCTATATTGCATCAATTACTTTTTCTGTTCATTAAAAAATTTTAATTTTATTTCTGCACAATGCATTATGATTCATTTATTTCTTATTTCAATTATGTTATGTTAAGTTCAGTTTTTGTTAGATAGCACTTCACAATAATTTCAATAATAATAATAATAATAATAATAATAATAATAATAATAATAATAATAATATCTCAAGTTGTCAATGAATCTTCCTCCACAATGATATTCTCATTAACATGCTAAATAGATATATATTAATAATAATTCAGTTTTTCTTTTTGCATTAAACTTCATGCTAAAAAAGAAAACATGCTTTGTCAGGTTGAGGTCTGATTATCTAATCTGGCATTCCCTAACCCATTTTAGTATATATTATTATTATTATTATTATTATTAGGTAGATTTATATAGTGCCTTTTCATCAAATCTCAAAATATGTTTTTTAACAGACAGCCTCTCAAAATGTAAGCCTGTAAGTCTCTCAAAATGGGGCTGACATGATCAGACCTAGAACAACCAGAAACAAGTTTAGCGGCTCTATTCTGAATGGACTGCAACATCAATTATATATATATATATATAATTGTGTGTGTGGTTGAAATCTTATTTCAACTCAAAACATTATTTTCAACAAAGATAAATTTCAAACCTGAGAAAATAGCAATTTGTATTTTATTTTATCTTCATGAATACATTTTATACACGATCCAATATAAATAACATCTGTTGAATAATAAATAAAAATATTATTGAAACTTCATCACATTCAATAAAATGCAGTTTACTCTTTATAATTTAAATAGAGATAGGACCAGCATATTTGCAATAGATTAAAAAAGAGCTTATTGACATTACACATTTTCTCATTTTTTTAAATTTCTTTTGATATAAAATAAACCAAATCTGTCTAAGTTCAATTATCAGATAAACTGCATCTACTTATGACTAATTTACCCTCTAAGCAAAACCATATAAATTTTTATAAAAGATCTCATATCTATGATTGATCATTTTTATTCAACAATCTTGACTTTTTAAAGTTCACATTTTCAATTTTAATAAATAAAAGTAAAATATTAAATATAAACAACAGGGATTATTTATGATAATTAGAATAGAATATTTAATAGATAAATTTAATTAAATAGAATAGAAATAGAAATACAATATGTCTATTCTATCTCTATTTGCTATTCCATGTTAAATACACAATGTCAATGAATCAATCATACATTTATTAATTACTTACATACATAAATAATACCATACCTCATCAGAGAGTGAGAGTATCCTAATCTAATCTGGCCCTAACATCAAGAATTGGTTGGATTCATGTTTTAGTTAATAATCAAATTCAAATTAAACAACCATGCAGAGTAGAAAGAGAGAAACGTATCACAGACCACACACAGCACACAGAGATCAGAAGGGATCACAGCACCACAAAGATTGAAAATTAACAATCACCGTCAGGCCGAGTGACCAACATGCTCAAAAAATTGTATAGGTTACAAAACTGTAGAAAAGATAAATGTCAAAATATGGCGCATATATAAACTTAACGCTCAGCACCAAAAAGAAAAAACAGGCATACGAATCAATGTTTACATTCGTAAGACGACTGCCATATCAAATTAGACAAATAATGACCCAAAGAAATTTTAACATCATAATAATAAAAAATTCATGCATAGATTAAACGTACAAACGTTTCAAGCCAAGGGGAGGCCTATTTAACAGCATACAACATCTTCTTATGGGTTGCAGCAGGGATATGCAAAGAACCTCAATTTTTTCAACTTTTAATGATTTTCTGTAACGTCTCCCCTTGCTCCAAACCACATAACTAGAATAATAGGACTGATCGATCAATTCGATCTATCGGTCGGGCTATTTGTCGTGCTTGGATTGTTGGCTTACGAAATTGCATGGATTTTAACGAGCAAGCTAAATGAAATATTTACTTGATTTAATATGCTTAAAACATTGTAGTAATTCTATTTAATTTTAATAATGATTAATAGAATTATGTATTATTAAATTATTTTTGTTAATTTGAATATAAAAATTGCTTTTGGTCCGGTGAAATCCGGTGGCTTACTGAAGCCGAAGGTTGGCTTAGTAGTATTGAACAATAGTCACTCTTTTTTTTACACTATTCGATCATGTTAAAAATTGGTTTGCTTATGAAATAAACGGCCTAAATAAACGGCCTAAATAAATCAAAATTGTTATTTGAACAACTATCTTCATTATATTCAATGAATATTTTACATTCTGTTGGTGCTCATAAGAAACTGGCTGCTGAAATCATACGTTGGCTTACAGCAGTGGCTTACAGGGTTTCATAGAACTCTTACGATAGCACTTTTTGTACATATAATGCTTTAAATAAATCAATATATTCATATCAATTATTTTTGTCAGTACTATAAATATAGAAATTGCTTTTGTCAGGTGAAAAACAGTGGCTTACTGAGGCCGTAGGTTGGCTTAATCGGATTTTTTTTCATGTTTACAATACTATGAGATAAATCAATCAAACAATCAAACAATCAGTCAGTCGGTCGGTCAGTCAGTCAGTCAGTCAGTCAATCAATCAACCAACCGATCAATCAATCAACTAAATTGAATGAACCAAATAAACAAAAATAAAAACAAAAAATAAAAAAATTTTGCAAGGCCTGTTCAAACTCGAACAAACAGTTAACCGTACAACAGTTTTCAAAAATGAAAAGTGACGGTTAATTAAAATTTTAAAATGTCAATTTTTTTTAAAAATTCGTATTTTAAATAAACAAATATAACAAAATATCCACCGATAAAAATAATTATTATCCATTATTACTATTATCATACACACTCCTTAGAAGTTCTCGAAGGATAATAAACCACGTAACATGAACATTTAGTAAAAACAGTTCACAACATATCATAATGACTAAATCAACATACTAAACAGAAATAATTTATACATGCATATATACAAAGTAAATCAAGAAATATCCAAAAATTATATAACCAATTTTAAAAAAAACTAGAACCAGTCAACATTTAATGAATAAATAAATAGACATTATTAAAAAGATTGTTCAAAAAGGTACAATTTAAGGCGACGACGAGAATGAAATGTAGTTTGTTTTGTTGGTGTGGTGATGTGAAGCGAAAACAAACACATCACACAAAACTAGTATGAAGTCGCAAGAATAAGTCAGTCACCTACCTATAATAAAATTACTCTCAGGGCCCTAGCTTACTTATAAACATTGACTCAACTCACTTACCTACAAATTTGTATTTCTCGTTTTAGATGCTTCAAGTATTTTATTTAGAATATTTTAGCGTTTTTATTTTACTTGAAGCTTTTTAACTAATGTTAAGCCCTAGCCTACCTACAATTGTTTAACTTATCTCAGTCCCTAACTTACCTATGAATTAAATTAAAGCCCGGTTCACGGTAAAGAAAATATAAAGTTGAAGAGAAACATAGCAACAACGACACCGAATGAATGAATGTTGTGTATGTATGTGTTGTATTGATGTGTGTGTATGTAAATGTGCGGGCGCGCACTCTCCAGAAACTTCACTCACTACCGACGAACCTCCATTGCACCGACCATCACCTGACACGCATCGATGGAATGAATTTGACCGGATACTGAAAAATAAATTGAAAAAAAAATTAATTCACTAAAATAAAAAACAAGCAATTGAAAAAAATAGGCAACTTATCTTTTTGAGATAACACTCAATCTTTGTTCAAATTCTAGTACTTTCAAAGGTACAATGAGACAAAAACAAATTTACCTACGATTGGCTGAATGAATAAATTAACTAATTAATTAATCAACCAATGATTTAATGAATGAATAGAATGAATCAATGAATAAATTAACTGAAGAATAATTTGAAAGATAGTGATAAAATGAATGAATGAATGAGAAAAATAAAAAAAAGAAACTAAATCATACTTCAAAAACCGTCATGAGACCTCCATCTGAAACGTGCTGATGCCCACCACAGCCCACCTCTCATCATTCTGTAGACATTTTTTAATAGCGTATTAGTAAATCAAGGAACAAAGGAACGATCGAATAAATGATTAACTGAATGGTTGAATAATTGGTTGAATGAATGAGTGAATGAATGAATTAACTAATAAATCAATGATTCAATTAATGAATAGAATGAATTAACGAATCAATTAATAGAAGAATAATTTAAAAGGTTGAGTGATAAAATGAACGAATGAGAAAAATAAAAAACGAAACTAAACCTTACTTTAAAAATCGTCGTTACTGTACTTTCCATTGCACCGACCACCACCATCTGGTCGGCACACAAAATACCATCCGAACTTCAGAGTGTCAGTCGAACAACCAACGAGCTGATTCTTCCTACACCACCATCATCATATGTAAATCATCATGAGACCACCATCTAAAACGTGCTGACTCCCACTACTGCCCACCTCTCATCATTCTGTAAACAAAATTTTTTTATTTGCGTAGTAGTAAATGAATGTTAGAATCTTAGAAGCAAAAAAAAATTAAATTATAAAATGAAAATAATGTCAAATAAATAAAATTTTAAAATAATAAAGTAAGTAAAATGTAAAAACACTTACCGTCGTCCATTCGACAAAGGCAGAATGTTGAATGCGGTCCGGTTCCTACGTTGTCCTCCAAAACTGGTGCCGGTCCTCCTCGAGGTTTTTGTTGAAACACAGCCCGTGTTGATGGGGAAAGATAGAGAAAGAGTAGATTCTCATCAGAAAGCTTAGCGGTGCCTGCATCTTAAATTGCTTAATAAAAATAATCCTATCTACCTATTCAATTACCTTAACTAATCTATATTAAATTGTTAATGGTACGATAGTCGAAAGTCCCCTTTCATTCTTCCTCCTTGCACAGAGGTTCACCGACAGCCAGGGCACCGGATAGAAAACCATTGCCGTGCGGATAGTAAACCATTTGCCGTCCGGAAGCCGTGCGGGTAGTAGACTATGGCCGTGCCACATGGTAAATCATTACCGTGCAGATAGTAAACCATTGCCGTCCGACCATTGCCGGTACACCACTGGCCACCAAGGGGCTTACCTCTGACAACAGACTTCAAAATTCAGAGTCTATCGGCTATCGTACCCTCAACTTACCTATTCATTACAATTAAGCCCTAGCTTACCTAAAATTACAAAAAAACTCAAGAGCCCAATTCATTTGCCAATCGGCACCCACCCCACCGCCTACGTAATGCCTTGGGCTCCAACTTAGTAATAATATAAAACTTAAACCCTAAATCTATTAATGTCTAATTATATATCTATAATCTATAAATATATAACTCTATATAACTCTATATAGCTCTATATAGCTCTATATAACCATGCATACTACCACATTCAATCAATAAAAATCCCACAAAAACCAGGAACCACCGTGTACCTGCTGAATGTATAATGTGAAACAAAACAAAAAAAAACACATAACAAAAATCACACCACCAAGTAGAGTAAAAGAATAGGAGTCCCTAACCTACCTATGTAACTAAATTACCTTATGCCCTAGCCTACCTATATAATAAATTAATTTTTACCTCACCTACCTATGCTTCAATAACTTAACTCAAGACTCATGAAGAAAGAGAAAAAGGAGTAAAACAGAACATAAAATACTACCACACAAACAAGATGTATGTATGTATGTATGTATGAGCAACCGCTAAAGAACCCACCTAAAATTAAAAAAATACCACCTACAAACATTCAAACCACCTACAAACATGCAAACTCTATATAACTCTATATAACACTATATAACTCTATATAACTCTATATAATAAAATATATAAAAATAAAAAAATTTTAAAAATAAAATAAATGAGATCAGACAGACTGCTTCAAGCGGGGCAGAATGCTGATCTGATTTTCATGTTGTCTCAGCTCCTCTATTTATACTCGTTTCAACCATACATTCTCATCATTTCAATCATTCGCATCAGTAAAAAACTTGTTTAATGTATATACTGCACTATTATACAGTCTTAACCACAATGCTAACCGTACTAAATTGAAGTCATCGAACGAACGCCTTCGAAACTTTCTGGTTGGCTGGTTGAATCTGCTATATTGCTTTTCATATAAACATATAATCTAATATAATATAATTTAATTATTTGTATACATGGATATATATATATATATATATATATATAATAAAAATTCATTATAAAAGCAACAGTAATCAGTGCTATATATGTAAGCATGCAGTTCAAATTTTTCTGGGAGAATTCAAAATTGTTTGAGACCACACCTTGCTTAACATCCAATTCCAAGCCGAGCCAAGCCAAGCTGAGCCAATATGCATAAATTCATTATAAAAAACGACAGTAGCCATTACTATATATGTACGCACGCAGTTCAAATTTTTCTGGGAGAATTCAAAATAGCTTGAGACCACACCTTGCTTAACATCCGATTCCAGCCAAGCCAAGCTGAGCCAATATGCATAGATTTATAAGCGCTTTTATGTTAATATTTTGCTCGCTATATTTATATATTTTATAAATTTATTATAAAAAACAACAGCAGCCATTACTATATACGTACGCACGCAGTTCAAATTTTTCGGGGAGAATTCAAAATAATTTGAGACCACACCTTGCTTAACATCCGATTCCAAGCCAAGCCAAGCTGAGCCAATATGCATAGGTTTATAAGCGCTTTTATATTAAAATTTTGCTCGCTTTTTAAACGAATATCCCAATATAACAAATTCTCCATCCTATTTTAACTTTCTTTGATGCTTTTTAATCAGTCAGGTCACAAAAATCATTATCGATATCGCAATGAAATCAATATTTGAAATTTTTTTTTAATTATTGAAAAAATTTTTAAATTGTTGATAAAAATAACTAGTATATATAGTGTAGTAAAACGTTTAAATTTTTCTGAAAGAATTCAAAATAATTTGAGACTACACCATAACACAATTGTACAATTTGAATGTGTAAATACAACATTATAAATGTATTATAACTACGTGTACATACCTATCTATTTCTTTATTTAGTTTTGCCTGTGTATGATATTTTGTGAAATTTATTTGATAGGAATTGAATATAACCTTTATAACGACTGATTAACTACCATGCAGTAAAATAACTACTGTTGACACCATTTCCTCCAACGATTTCGCAACGAATTGCCCATACCATATAATTAGAATAAACTCTTTCAATCAATGTTTAAATTTTTATATTGTCATTTATTCTTTCGTTTTTGTTTCTGTACTAATTTTCGTGTCAGATACAATAATTTAGTTTTTCAGTAAATTTTCATTTTCGTAGCTATACACAAACATGCCTACCTGTTGCATTAAAAATTGCATTAATAATAAAAAGAAATGAGAAAATTTCTGATGCATCTTTTCACAGGTTTATTTTCAAATTAACTTCACACTAAAATAAATGTAACAATATCCCTATACTCATTGAATAGAACTATTTTGTTTTACAATTACATATATTTTATTTTATAGACTATTATAATTTATAATGCTATCATAAATTACCATTTTATTATTAAAAGCAATACTTAAGAAATGCACAAGTTTCTGTAACAGTTTATCAAATTTCAGATTTCCTCAAAATGTAAAAATGCAAAACGATTGGATTAAGTGCATCAGACAGGAAATAAATGATTTCAAATAGCTTCCATCAAAAAATGCAAGAATATGCAGTGACCATTTCTGTAATAAAGATTATAAGGGTTATGATGGAGATAGGAAGGTAATGCTGAAGAAAGCATTCCCATGTTTTCAAGTTAGTTATATTTATATGTCATCAGTTACACAAGGAAGCAATTCACATCATCATTGTACATTGCAACATTCTTATCTATACAAAAAATATAAAATGCATTCAACAATATTCCATGTATTTTATTAAAACTTAGAAAGGGCATAATGACGTTGTGAATAATAAACCCTGCTTAGGACTGGGATCATCATCATCATACCAATCACCATTACAAGTAGAGTCAATTTTATATTGATGCTTAACAAGTTAACTAAGGCATAATGGGCATAATGACGTTGTGAATAATAAACCCTGCTTAGGACTGGGATCATCATCATCATACCAATCACCATTACAAGTAGAGTCAATTTTATATTGATGCTTAACAAGTTAACTAAATTGGCATAATCAAGTTTTTATATGAAATACACATCAAGTATTTAATGTAACAAATAAATTAACAGAAAAATTTCTGGAAAAGTTTAAAAAAATTAGAACATATGACTCTGATCAAATAAATATATTTGACACTGCATTTGTATGGGCATAAGGCATATGATTATCTTTGGACAAATGGCTTACATCTTTCTCACACTAGGACATTAAGAAAGTAATCTTGTCATACCTGTTTAATAATTTTAATAAGATTGTTGCAAATAACTATTCTCAATGTTATTTTATTAACACTACATTAAAAGGTGGCTACTAAACATTGATGTTATACCTGGGGTGATTTCTACAAACCTTATTGACTAATGGTGATGGGGATCCTCTGGAACTGTAGGATCATGACATTCAATCTAGTCATGGATTGAGAAATTAATCCTTGATATATTTGATAACAAACATTTATTATAATATAAGAATGAAAAAAAGATGTAGGTGTAAGGCAAAATCTTACTGGAACTATTATTTTTAGCAATTTATGATTCATTTTTTTATTTATGACTTTATTCATTTTCAATGATACCGATATTTTTAATTATTATTATCCAAATTATACTCATGCCTATATAAATTAATTTGATTGTGGCTATTTCTATGCTTAATTATTTTATTTACTTGCCATAGGTATGCACAGCATTTAATAAATTAATGATAATAATCAATCAATCAATCTTCGTTTTGCGTCCAGAGACCCGGTTTCCCGAGGTATTAATAATTAATAATACAACATTCTAAGTGCATAAAATATAATAAATTAAAAGTACAATTTTTACAAACCTCATTGGTTATGGTGATGGGGATTCTTTAAAACTGAATGATCATGATCTAACAAGTCATGGATTGATGATCACTGGAATCACACATTATCTTTAATAAATTTAATAACAACATGTACTACAATTTAAGAATGAGGAATATTTTGTAAAACATTAAATGAAAAAAAATTTAGTTTGAATCACTCATAATTAATAAATTTTAATTAAATTGCAAGTTAGCTTGGGGAGTTTGAAGCTTGAATTGAACAAATTACAAAATTTTTTATTTTATAAAATTGATTAATAAGTTGTTTAATATAT